ATTGCTGCGGACACACACACACGCACACACACACAAACACACACAGACAACCCCATGACAATATGCGTTTTGTACTGCTGTTACACAGCACAAAACACACAAAAAAAAAATAAACAAAGGCTGAGCTTATGCGAATGGTAGCGGCTTATTCATGAGACTTATGCTTAAGTGGAGCTGAGGGCAAATAAGCTCGACTGCATTTACATAAAAAATAGCGGCGCACACCAAGGTAGCCGGTGCGATCATGCGTTATGCGCAGTTCCGTCCAGCGAACGTCTGCCTGCTAAAGATTTTCACTGCTTTGCACTTTAGTCTCTGCAAAAACAGCAGAAATGCTGTCCGGTTCCTAAGTTGCGAAATTTTCCACTAAAGCCTTGTACAGTAAACATCCTTTCAAAATCAACCCCCTAATTTTCCGGCTTTTGAGTGATCTTCGAGCCAAAACTTTTATATGGTCGTGACTGAGACCTTGCATACTTGGGAATTAAATTTGAGATTGTGCAGCCTCTGCATAAGCAGAAAACGTCCTCCTGAAATCTTTAGCCTCTCACCTCTTCTGGCTTCTGGGTAATAATTATTCCCACCAAAAAATTCACAGGGACCTTGAGATCCAGGCGTACGTGAAAGATGAATTTGGATTTGCAGGATCGCACGTGGGCAATAACCAAAAATTTCGGCTTCCCAGCTTTCTTGGTTCCCAAGACAATAATTTTCCGCGTTAAAGCTTTCGCGGGGTCACACATGGTACCCGCGAGTAAGTGAAGGCCGAATTTATGTTTGCGGGGTCACACGTGGGCGGAGAACATTCTGCCAAAATTTCAGCGTCTCAGCTTTCGTGGTCCCCGAATTGAAAATGCAGGACAAAACGTGACAATATGCGTTTTGTACTGCTGTCACGCAGCACAAGACGCGTAAAAACTGCGCACAATTCCACTGTGTTGCCTCTGGCAACCTGCAACTGTGCACATCGATTACACCTCCGTTTTTTGCTTTCAAAGCCTCATAGAAGCAAAGGCTGAGCTTAATCTCCATGCACCCAGTCCACCCTGTTACCCTACAACGGAAATTCATCCTCAGTTTTAACTAAGCATCAGCTTCAATAGTTGGGAAGTCCCCTACTGAAGACTGGTTTTTGCGGAACAGCTTCAACTAGAAAAACCTCAGTTTTTTGCTTTTATTTGTAAAGTCAGATTTGCTTTAATTTAGTTTCCACTGTATTGCTATGCTGTCTGTTTCTCTTTACTCCATTTCTTGCTTCGAGCTCCTGACTTGTGTCCTTATTCCCCTTCCCCACTCTGTCCCCAAATCCTGCTTGCAAAGCAGTATCTGGGTTCCTCTATAACAGCGCTGTTCAAGCAAGTAGTATTTCACCTTCCCCTACCTCAAATGTTCACGGCAAAAACCAGGAACACACTTCCTCATTCTCTGCATTCATCACCCCAACCCCTCTCCCCTTCAAATGTATGTGACCTAGCCAACGGACAAAGGATCAACGCCATTAACTCATTAAATCCACCTATCCCAGCCCCCTTCCCTGCCCCGAAGCCCGCAACACATCACCTCCACTTTCATCTCCCACATCCAAATTGCCGTTATCCATCGTGGGGTAACCGTACCAGCCGTCAGAAGAAAAAATTTTTTCCGGATCGTGTATGGCGTCGGCCGAGCCGAGTTATTGTAATTGCCGGATGTAATGCGCCTACTTGGGCAATTACGGAAACTCGGCTCGGCTCGTCTCATATACAAGCCGCAAAAAATTTTTTCTCCCGGCGGCAGGTAAGGCTCCCCACGGCGAATGGCGGCAGTTTGAATGTGGCAGTTGGAAGTGCGGGTGGTATGTGGCGAGTTTCGTTCGAGGCAGGGGAGGGGACTAGGATAGGTGAATATAAGGAATAAATGGCGTAGATCCTTTGCCAATTGACTAAGTAACGTACATTTGAGGGGAGAGGGGAGCGGTGAAGAACGGAAAGTATGCTTCTGGGACTTCCCTTTTTATGAAACTGATGCTTAGATAAAGCTGTTCCACAAAAACCAGTCATTAGGCTTTTTTATTTATGAAACTGATGCTTAGGCAAAGTTGTTCCACATAAACCGATCATCAGACTTCCCTTTTTATGCGTTTTGTGCTGTGTAACAGCAGTACAAAACGCATATTGTTACGGGGTTG